GGCGGGCCTGGGGTGGGCAGCCAGGACAAGGTGCTGACGGGGTCGCTCGGGATGCGGCGCGCTAAGGGGTGGTCCAGGGCCACGCCGCCGCTCTCGGGGAGGGTGGGCGAGTGGCGCGGCGTGGCCGTGCCGCTGTTGCGTCTCTGCGAGCCGTTGATGGAGGAGCAGCTGCTAAAGGCTTGCAAGGGGTTGCCTGAGCGCTCGAAGGGTGACCAGATGGTGGTGGGTGTCGTGAGGTCGAGGGCCAAGAAGTCGAAGCCGAAGTCGCACTCCTCCGAGCCCAGAGGGGCCGGGGGCTCGCTGAAGGTGAAGCCGCTGCTGGTGCTGTAAGGGCTGGTGGGGCTGGCGTCCGCCACCCGCCCGCTGTAGTAGGACTCAGTGGAGGCGCTGCCTAGGGGGCTGAGGCTGTCGTTGCGGAGGGCGGCCGAGGGGCGGCGGGCAGGGTGGGGGGCTTTGGCCCACAGGCTGGCCGTGCTGCCCTGCAGGTCGAGGCAGACATCAGTGCCGTTGGAGTGGAAGTCGTTGTCGGCATTAACGTCGATGAAGGAGCCTGTCCTCATGGTGATGTGTGCCTCAATCTCCTCCCTAGCCCGGTCCACGTTCTCGGGCATGCCTGTCACCTCGAAGACAGGCTCCTTGTCCCTGCTGGGCGTCACAATGTAGGTGTGCGTCTGCTGCTGGATCCGCTTGATGGTGGCTCCCTTGGGCCCCACCACCAGCCCCACCACACGGTACGGGACCCTCACCTGGATGGTGGTCTGTCCCGGCAGGTTGGGGGGCCCCTGCATCGCTCCCGTCAGCCCGTTCACTTTGTTGCGCGTCGCTCGGATCATGGAGAAGTGCTCAGCGGCCGAGAGGATCTCCCTTTTCGCCATCTCCACGTCCTCCTTCCTCCCAGTCACAATGAAAACGGGCTCCTCGCCCCTGACCGGTGTCTTGATGTACGTGTTGGTCTTGGCGCGCAGGGCTTTGATTTTGCAGCCTGCAGAGCAAGGAGAAGGGGAAAAAAAGTGACATGTCAAAGCTGGGACCTCGTGGGGACCCCCTGCTCACCCAGGATGGGGAGATGCAGGACCAGCAGGTCCCTTTGGTTCTGCACCTGCAGCACAGACACTCTTGGAGAGAGGGGTCCCTCCCGCCTCAAAGGCAGCCAGGGGCTCACAGCTTGGTGCTGGGGGGCTGCACCGGCTTGTCCGAGACACGCCAGGCTCCTGGCACCGGCCTTACCCTCTGCCACCACCTCCTCCGCACCACAGCGGGGATCAAGGACCCGCAGGTTGCAGCCTGCAGCCCAGCTCCCGAGGGCTGGGACAACGCATGGGCAGAGAGGAGCCGGGGCAGGCAGCCTTGGGGCACTTTCTGGGCCGTTGAGGGGATGGGAAGCCAGGTTTACTCGAAAGGTGTTTAAGGAGGTGCAAGGGAAAAAAAGACACTGAAGATGGAAGGGAAGGAAAAGGCTTGTTTGGATCCTGCAGGTTTGTCGACACCTCTCAGCCGGCAGCTAAACCCGAGAAACAGCCCCGGCTGCACCCCAACAGCAGCAGCGATGGCCCCGGAGGGACGAGGGAGCCAGGGCTCCCCACGGCCGAGTGGCACAGGCACACCCCACCTCCCTCTCCCTGCCCCGAGGGAGGAGACCCCAGGGCAGAGAGGCTGCGCCCTCACCGGCTGGGGCAGGGGTGCTCATGGGGCACCGGCTCTCCCCGTTCTGGAAAGACCTGCTTCCCCCGCACGAGGAACATGATTCAGCAGGCAGAGCCCAGGCTGGGACGCAGGAGACCGGGGCTTTGCTGAAGCTCTGCCTTCGCCTCGCACAACCCTGGGCAAGTTCCTCCCGTGGGCGAGCTGGGCTCCGGCTGCGAGTCCCTGCGGCTGGAGCTGCAAGGCGCTGCAGCCTGTCCAGCAAAAGGCTCCTGCTCTCCTCCAGGACCAGTCACCGCTGCTCTCGCTGAGGCATCGCCTCCGGCCGCAACCCCAGCTCTGCTAATTGCATCCACTTTCCCTGCGCTCCAGTGCATGCACTTAATTAAATTTACATGAGCCAGGCGCACCGCACCAGGAGCTCAGCCTGGCTGGCTGCCCTCCGCTCCCGGCACACAAGGACAAGTGATCCCCTGTCTCGCACCTCCCATGCACCCCCTGAGCTTTGCAGGGCACCCAAAGCAAAGCTGGGAGCCCGCGGGGACGGAGGCTATCCGATCAGAGCCCCGAGACTGTCCCTGTCCACGGCAAACGCTGCTGCTGCAGATCCACATTGATAAATAGCCGCACGCCGGCAGGGAGAGCTTGACTCCCCGCGGACATGGCCAAGACAGCCGCAAGCACCCAGCTGGCTCCTCCGCAAGCAGCTCGCTCGGGGCACTCCTCCTCTTCCCAGACGCTCCCTGAGGAAGGGCAGGGCTGCTCTTCCAGCTGCAAGGCTGGAGAAGGAAGAGCCCCGGAAGGTTGAAGGGACTCAGCCAGGTCTGGGGCAGCGGAGAATGTTCAGGCAGGTCTGTCCCAACCAAGCAAATCAACCTGCGCTCACTAGCAGCTGGAGAGCAGGGCCCTAACGGGAGCCGTGCTATCCCTGGAGACCCGAGCGCGGCGCATTTACCAGAGCATTAAGCATCACGAATAACAAGAAGTAAAAAACTGTCAAAATAAGCGAGCAGCAGCTGTCCTGGGTGTCACAGCCCAGCTTTTCGGCAGCACTAACCCCTCTGATAGCGACATCCAGGGAGCCAACAGGTGATGACACCGTCCTCTCCGGACACTTCCTCCAAAAATCCTCGAAAGCGGCTTACACCAGCCAGCACAGCCCCTGCCCAGCTCCAGGCTGCCTCGGGGTGCTGGCAGCTCCACGCATGCCCTACCTGCTGCCTGCAAAGTCCCAGGATGGCGACAGGCAGGTTGGAGGGGAATCTGGGAGGGGAGCAGGCAGGTAAGCATCCAGATAGTGCTGGGGAGGCAGGAGACCTGCCGAGACCTCCCTTCTAAGGGGGGGAACCCTCTGGATTTCATACAAGACGGGCTGAAAGCATTTGAATGCCACCTCCAAGCACTTGTTGCAATCAGAAAAGTGTTCCTCCCGCCTTTCATTGCCCCAGGGATTGAGGCAGCGGGATGAGCCCAAATTCAACCCTTCGTGCAAGTGGCTGGGCTTGGCCAGGCAGAGGCAGGGCTGGGGATGGCACAGAGCTGCCCCGTTCCCTGGAGCCGGGGAAGCCACTGAGCGGCTGCGGGGACACGCGGAGGAGGAATGTGGGTGGAGAAGGGTTTGTCCAGGCTTTTCCTAATTTAGAACAACAACTGGAAGGTATATTTATGGCTGGGGGCATATGGTGGCATATGGTGGGGAAAGCAACGGCCCGGTCACTGGGGCAGGGCAGAACCAGCAACCATCAAAGGTGAAGTTTTTTTTAAGCACGTGCCAGCTTCTGCGAGGCTGTCCAGAGCGAGGTGCCTGCGACTCCCATGTTTCCCTCCCCGATTTATTCTGGTACCTGCCATAAGCTCTCCCCCTGCTCTGCTGCTTGGCAAACTGGGATGAGCACGGTGGCAGCGGACAAGGGCAGCCAGGCTGGAAGCCACAGCGGGGCTCTGCCGGTGCCTCCCGCAGACGCCAGCCTCACACCCAAGGTCTAAAATTAGCCCTTCACAGCAGGAAGTGGCAATTTCAAGATCCAAAGGTATCGGCAGCTGCCAGGAGCTGCACACAGAAGCTGCTCGGGAGCCATGTCCCAGGGGGGACGCGGCACAGCAAGGCGCTTCCTTGGCCCGCTCCAGGCACAGCAAAGCTCTTCCTTGCCCCGCTCCACCGCGCCAGCTGCACCAGTGGGACTGAACTGATGCTAACGCAGCGCAAAATGGAGGAAGAGTTTATCCAGCTGCTCCTTGCGAGCCCTTCCTAGGGGCAAAGCCAGAAACCTGGGTTAAAAATTAAAGGGGTGCCTGGCTTGGCCAGCTCCACCCTCCTCAAACAAGCAGGGCAGGAACAACGCACACGAACTGTGGCTGCCGGATGCTGCCAGGGCCACCGTGCCCACGCCGGGGCTACCCATGGCACAGCAAAATGCACCAGGGGTCGGAGCTGGTTTTTCCAATCGTGGCGTAAAAGAGGACGACAGCAGATCTGGGGCAGCGGGGGTGCTGCTTCGCCTCCCTGCCCTCCCACAGAGCCGCACGGGGAAACACTGCGGAAAAGGAGGCATCAGCCGGGGAAGCTTCTTGCCCGAGGCCACGTGCTGGCATCTGCACCAGGAACTGCGCTTGCACCGCTCAGCGCAAGGAGCCTCTGTCATCGCAACACACCGGTGAGTGCTCCCGGGCGGGCGCATTGAGGACACGGTGGGGGCAGAGCCGGGACAGCACCATGGCCCCACCCAGGGACCAACCTGTCCTGCTGCCGCCCCCAGTCCCAAACTCCTCCTAAGCCACCCCTCAGCCACGGGGACTCCCAGGCAGCAGGTCCTAAAAGCCCCAGCCAGGAAGGATGGGCAGCTTCCCTGGGCTGGGGTTCAGTAAAGCATTTAAACCCCCAAGGCACAGCGAGCTACGGGTGTGCAACACCAGGAACTGGTGAAGAGACACAACCTCACAGCAGTACAACCCCTGTCCTCCATCACATCTGCGCCCCGGAGAGGTGGCTGAGCCGAGGCTGCTCCTGCCCACGCTCGGGGAGATGCTGACACCCCATGGCCAAGCCCCCCAAAGCCCCCCCCGAGAGCCAGACGTACTCGAACCGCACGACACAGGTGGTTTAACCAGCCACCTGCAACTGGGGGAACGATCCGCACCAGTATGAGGTTATTTCAGATGAGTCTCCACAAGCCCCCAGCCAAGCACGCTGTGAAAATGCCATCCTGGGTGGCTGCATCCCTCTGAAGTCGGTGCAGCACAACCCCTCCGGAACAGGGCCGTGCCGGATGGGGGCTGTGGAGAGGACCAGGGGCCGCCCAGCCCCACCGCAGGCATGCCCTCGCCCTGGCGTTGCCAGATCAAGCGCCTTACCTCAACCAAGCGGCAGTGGTTGGCATTCCCGTGTCTTACCTTGCCAAGGGCCGGCGTGCAGCATTAATGACGAGGGAGGAGGAAAACAAGGTGCCAGACTTTGCTACAAGGCTATAAACAAGGTGGCTTTAAAAGTATTTTCAGATCCAAAAGCAAACACCCCCAAAACCGGGAGGGGGCAGACCTAGGGGTGCTGCAGCCCCAACAGACCCCTTCCCCACACCAGAGCCTGGGTTCCACCAAAGCCCAGGCATGGCTCAGTTGCCACATTACAGCTCTTCGGTGGAGCTCTGAGTCCCTGTGGGCCCAAACCAATCATGACAACCCGTGGCCATGCTCAGCTGCAAGCAAGCACCCTCATTCCGGGGGTCTCAAGCACACGCAACCCCACCGAGTCACAGCCCCTCGTGCCACCACCCAGCTCTGCCTGCAGAGATGGCACCGATGGAGGGGCGCAAGCTGGACGCTCCTCTCGAACCCTCCCATCTCCAGACTCCACACCCTTCTCTTCCTCCCACTGTCGCCAGCTCCGAGCCGCTCTCTGCCCACCCTGGCGCGGCTCCCGGCACGCTCCACTCTGCAAAGCTGCCCCGCAGAGCCACAGCGCCCTGGCTGGACCTGTCCCACCTGCCCTCGGGCTGAGAAATCACTAGTTTTGGACAAGAAACAGAATCCCAGGGGATTCTCCCCGGGATGATGCAGCGATGGAGGTGGCACCCCAGGAAAGGCGGCTGCTCTCCCTGAACGTCCTCTCTTAGCATCACCAGATGACTTCGCCCTCTGCCAGGAGCCCCAGTCGGATCAGGGCTGTGACTATCGCAAGAGCAGCGATAGGCTGGGGGCAGCGGGCTGGGAAGTGCCTCTCCATCCTCTGCGCTCCTGCTGTTACACAGGCAAGAGATAAGAGACCCGACGCAGCTCATCCACTTGCTGATTCCCAGCATGGCCCAGCCAGCACCTGCTTTGACGTAAGGTGGTCCTCTCCATGTAAGGAGGACAAAGCCAGCCGATCCCCTCGGCCAGACCATGTCTCCGTTTGTCCAAGGAGCTTTGTGCTTGCAGTGCCCGGCTCCGACCTATGAAAACCCAAGAAAGAGCACACAGAGCTTTTCTGGAGGAGCCTTTGATGGCATCAGCCAGGAAGACTATGTTCATCACAGCCTCCGCAGCTCAGGAGCCGGCTGACGCCTCGCACCCAGCCCTCTGGAGCGTGCTACCCGCCGCAGAAAGACATTGCCCTTCCCCTTCCCCAGCTCTGCAGCATCTCCTGGCCTCATATCTGGCGTTATGGCACTCCCAGTCCCCTTCATTACAGGCAAATGGCGTAGGATGCGCCAGGACCAGGGCCAGACATGGAGGAGAACACGCTGCACCTCCATCACATCTCATCTCATCTCCCCTCTTGCTAAGTGCTTCTTCCCACCTCCCTGCAAACACTAATTAATTCATCCTTGCAACCACGCTGCGGGAGGCAGGCACATCACACCTTTGTTTCTTCTCCAGACACTGGGAAAAGCGAGGCAGGGAGGCTGGGCTCCTTGCCTCAGGCCAGAGAGGAGGAAGGCAGTGCCAGAGCCAAGATGCACAGGCAGATACTTCAGTGATCAGATCAATCTGTGCGACCGACTTCAGGAGTTTCTGGCTCTGCTGCGACCCAGAGGTGGGAGGAGGCAGCCAGGCCAGCCTCAAAGGACA